GGCGCCAGAGCGGCCACGGGCCCGCAAGCCGGCAGAGGCACGGGCTCGGGCCCCAACACCCCCACGACGCCACACCCCAACGCGCTCACACGGGAAAGAGGGTCGCGGCGTCGCCCTCCGGGAACGCGGGGACAGCGGCGGGGCCTTTTAAGAATGCTATACTGGAATCTTCCTCCTCTAACACTCCTTTCAAACTATTGTTTATTGCCATTTCATTCCCAGGCCCTATCTCCCTGTAAAGGAACTGGAAAGATTGTTCTTTCCTTCCCTGAAATGATTCCTCACCTCCACCAGGCTGACCTTGTGCTTCTGCCATAGTCAGTTGACCTAGTAATGGTCACTCACTGCCATCAACTTGGATCCAACTCCTAGCGACCCTTCCTTCGGTTTCCAAGGTGGTATCACTACGGAAGTAGATTGCCCAATCTTCCTTCCGAGGTGTGGCTGGTGGGTTTGAACTGCTAGCCTTCTGGTCAGCAATCAAATACCTTGGGCACTACACTACCAGAGCTCCTTAGTAATGGTAGCCATCCTATCCAAGCTGGAACAATCAAATTTATCTTTCCTGGGAGTTTAGAAGGAGCTCTGGTGGTGTAGTGGTTAAGACACTTGGCTGCTAACCAAAAGGTAGGTGTTTCAAACCCACCAGATGCTCCACAGAAGAAAAATGAGGCAGTCTGCTTCAGTAAAGATTTACAGCCTTGGAAACCCAGTGGAGGTCACTATCAGTTGGAATTGCCTTGGTGGCATTGAGATTTGTTTTTGGTGAGTTGGGAGTTTAGAAGTTTGATCTGAGGATGTGAAGATGGTAGCTTGTTGAGAGGTAAGCCTCAGAAGTGATTTGGTGCTAGGAGGAAGGTCTATAATTTCCTATTGTTGAGGTTTGACATCTGTTGTGATCCCAACGTTTCCCAGTCTTTAGGAGAGTTGTAATAAATTTCTCTTTCTTGATTACATTTTCTAGTATTAGCTTCTGTATTTGCAACCAAAGAACCTTAACTAACAGTCTTAATTTAATGTGAAGCTCTTTGGGGGCAGTATCATTTCCATTCATTCATCAAATTATTCATACACCAAACATTTATCAAGCATTTACTAGGTGTCAGGCACTGTACTGGGTGCTAGGAACTCAAAGATGAATTAGACAATCCCTTGAACTAGCTCTCTGTCTAGTTTGGGATATAAATGTATTCAATCACTCATTCATTCACTCAAAAAATAACTCATTCATTCAGCTAATAATGGCCAACACATAGATTATTGCATGACAGGTCCTGCTATTACACACTTTTCTTACTTAATTCTCACAACTCTGTGTGGCAGGTCCCATTTCATAGATGAAGGAATTAAAGCATTGTGAGGTTAGGCAACTTTCCGAGTCACACGGCTTCTATGTGCTGGAGCTTGGTCTCTAATCTTGGTATGTCTGATTACAGAGCTCTTCCTTCTAACCACTGTGAAAACACCTCTCAAAAAAATCCCAAAGCAATGTGACACATGTCTACACAGATGTGTATAAAGTTCACAGAGGAGAAAGTGCTTAATTTTATAGAGAGATTGGAGTTCATAGTTGAGGTGGCTTTGAGTAATCTTGAAGGAAGAGAAGTGGTGTATCGCGGGTACCTAGCCCAGAACTTTGCATATGAACTCAGTAAAATGATGATGAAGTGTGTGGCTCGTGGAGCTGGAAAGAGTTATTTTCCTGTTTACATGGAACCGGGGGTGTACCCTATTGTCTTCTGAGGCATCATCGTTGTGATTTAGCAATGGGATGTGAAGCAATCAGATCATTTGGGTATTGTATCACAGAAACTCACAAAAGCCTGCAAGGTAAGGAGCACAGTAAAAGGGGTGAGGAAATCAAGGTTGAGATGTTGCGTGACTTGTACAAGACCGCACGTGGTGAGTAAGCACCAGACAGACAAGAATTGGTGTCCCACCCTCAGGAGGATGGAACTGGTTGTCAGGCTTATTCTAATGCTGCCGGCTCCTTTACTGTTAGCTTCTGCTCATTCCAGCCCCTGCACCTTAGTTTCTGAAAGTCCACCTTCCCCTTCCTTCTCAGCTCTCCAAATCCTGCTCAGCCTTCAAGATCAAATTCATCCCACATCTTTCCCCAAGCCTTCTCCAAATTCATTCGGCTACGAAGCTTCAAGATTAGTCCCTGGGTCCTGCTTTCAACCAGATTTCCTGCCCTGAAAACTTCCTAGAAAATCCAGACTTATTACTGTCATCCAGTTGCTCTCCTCAGAACTCCTGTCACTGAATTTCTCCAACCTTCAGTTGGCCCTTTGTGGTTTACTTTATATGTGCACATGCTATTGCTCACTAGTCCCAGGGTGGTGTAAACATTTAAGGCACTTGGCTGCTAAAGAAAAGGTTGGAGGTGCAAGTCCACCGAGAGTTACCTCACAAGAAAGTCTGGTCATCTGCCTCTGAACAATCAGCCATCGAAAACCCTGTGGAGCCCAGTTTGACTCTGACACACGTGGGGTCGCCAGGAGTCAGAGTTGACTGACAACTGTTTTTTGGCATATGTTTCCTCTCACTTGATATCAGCTCCATGAGGCTGAAACCATTTTAATCTTCATACATCTATCGCAGATTTATGCTCACAACTCATAATGACCCCTCCTTGGGTTTCCGAGGCGGTATCACTATGGAAGTAGATTGCCCAGTCTTCCTTCTGAGGAGTGGCTGGTGGGTTTGAACTGCCAGCCTTTTGGTTAGCACTCAAGTGCCTTATGCACTATGCCACCAGAGCTCCTGGCACACAAACATTGTGTTTGTCAATTCAAAGAGATCTGCTCTGCTCGTGTGCTGTTAAGATTGTTCTGCTTCTAAATCATGCAAAACAGGTAACTTGTCAGCCTTTTTCTAATGTTCTTCAGGTAAAAAGAATAAGGGGCTGTCATAGGTACATTCAACAACTACTAATAACCAACACTTAATGAATGCTTACTAATTCCTAGGTCTTGTACAAAATACACGTATTAACTCATTTAATCCTCACAACAACTATCTCTCTTGAACAGATGAAGACACTTAGAGGTCACTCAGCTAGTAAATGGTGCAGCCAGGATTCAAACCCAGATCAGCTCTTAACTATGACACTAAGTTTTTTTCATGGGTAACTGAAAGTCTCTTGCTATAATGTCAACCCATTTTCTTTCTTTCTAAACCCTTTGGGAAGATAGGACTAAAGCAGAGACAAAATAATATTTATTGGGCTCCTAATGGTGCACAGGGGACGCTCTGGTAGCACAGTGCCTAAGGCACTTGACTGCTAACCAGAAGGCTGGCGGTTCAAACCCACCAGACACTTCTGGGAAAGAAGGTTGGGCAATCTACTTCCGTAGTGATAACGCCTCGGAAACCCAAGGAGGGGTCGCTATGAGTCGGGGCCGACTCGACGGCACATAACAACAACAACAACAATGGTGCACAGGGGACGCTCTGGTAGCACAGTGCCTAAGGCACTTGACTGCTAACCAGAAGGCTGGCGGTTCAAACCCACCAGACACTTCTGGGAAAGAAGGTTGGGCAATCTACTTCCGTAGTGATAACGCCTCGGAAACCCAAGGAGGGGTCGCTAGGGGTTGGGTCCCACTCGACGGCACATGTCAACAACAACGGTGCACAACACATTATAATTCTTGGAATGACCCTTATGAAGCAGGAAGTATTAATCCATTTTACAGGTGAAAAAAACTGGCCCCTAGAATGGTTAAATATTCAAAAGTTCAGCTTCCAGTTATTGGTAGAGTTGGAAATAGGTTTCCTGGCTTTAAAGGAAGTAATCTTTAAGAAAGATTGTACAGAAAACCCTGACACAGACAACGTAAAGAGCAAAGGGACATCAGCATTATTTAAGAAACGTGTTGACTTATCTAAGGAATGTGTGGTACATATTGAAGAATGATGAGAGAATGTAAAAAAGGCTGTTCTATAAACACTCAGAGGAATTAGTTAATTAAATAAACTTGCTGCCAGTCTTGGGCTGAGATTCAAACCTCCTTCCCTGGAGGCAGGGGCAGCAAGGGCGCCGCCAATCCAAGAGAACCAGGGAACCCGCTCAAGAGAATTAACGCTCAGCCCTCTTTCTCTCCTCATTTTAATTGGCCACTTCTTCCTGGACCCCGCCTCCTTCTCAGTCTAGACCAGTAAGCAACTAAGCCCCACCCACGACCCGGCTTGGGCCTCCAATCCGGTGCCAGGTTCACAGTCCTTCGGAGAAGCCCCCTCTACCCCGGTGAGGTGCTTCACACTTGCCGGCGATTGGTCAGGCAGTAGCATAGCGTATGCCTCCTCCTCCTACAGATTGGTCTGCAGCCCTTAGGCCCTCCTTGGCCTGTCCTTTCCTTGTCTCCCCCTTCGCCTCTGGGCCTTGGGCGAGCCGCGTCCTTCGGGGGAGTGGACCCCGCCCCCCTGTGACGGCCGGGCCAGGAATTGGCGGCGCCGCTTCAGCCATTTCCGGTTTCGGGGAGGTGGGTGGGGTGCGGAGCGGGACTTGGTGCTGCCGCTGCTGCCACCGCCTACAGAGCCTGCCTTGTGCCTGGTGCTGCCGGGACGATGCGGCCGGGGCCTGGAGGCTGCTGCTGTCGTCGCCCAGTGCGGGCGAACGGCTGCGTTGCGAACGGGGAAGTGAGGAACGGGTACGTGAGGAGCAACGCTGCTGTCGCCGCTGCCGCTGCCGCCGGCCAGGTACGGTGAGGTCGGGCGGGCAGCGGGACTCCGCGAGCTGGTACCTGAGGGAGGCCAGGGCGACGGTGCGGAGCCGGCGGAGAGGCAGCCCGGTGGGGCGAGATCGCGGTGGCGGTCTCTGGGAGCGGGTGCTGAGTGCGGCTCAGGTGTGCTCTTGGCGGGGCCCTGGCCTGAGCCTGGAGGTTCAAGGGCGGCGCAGCGGCTCCCCCGTCACGGTGCCTGACTGCCCCCCACCCCAAGGCTTGGGCTCTGCTCAGAACCCCGGGTCCCTTCCTTTACCTGATCGCGCTAGAGGTGTGAACCGCCCCCCAAGGGAGGCAGTGAATGGTCCCTCGGACTCATTTGGTTCCCTTCAAGGGCTCTTGGTTCTACCCCCTACAACTCCCTTCTCAAACCCTCGAGGTAGTTGCTTCCTCTTAGTCCGCCTACAGAAAACCACTCTTGGGGTCCTTAAGAGGCAAAGAAAGTTAGGAGGTGCTATGAGGAGAAAAGCCCTGGTAGTGCAGTGGTTAAAAGCTCAGCTGCTAACTGAAAGGTTGGCGGTTCAAAGTTACCCAGTGGCTCCGCGGGAGACAGACCTGTCGATCTGTTCTAGTAAAGGTTGTAACCTCCTCTAAGGGCAGTTCTACTCTGTCACATGGGGTCGTTACGAGTTGAAAATCGACTGGCGGGCACCTACCACCACCACCAGGAGGAAACACGTCCAGGATCTTCCTACCACGTTCTGCAGAACATTGGACCGTATCTGAGTGCAGCAGTGGTCTAGTGCCTCAAAAGCATTATCCTTTTTTGCCTGTGGGGAAACCCCATCCCACGTGCAGGAGAGGTCTGTGTTGAGTCGAGATCCCCTTGACCGTTTGAGCAAGATTGCTGTCACACAAGGGGATAGTTTAACCAGTGGTGACTTGTGATGAGTCTGTACTGATTAACCAAGGCTGAATCACCAACCGAGTTCAGGCAGTTCTAAAATATTTTTAAAAGTTCTGATTTTAAGACAATAATACATTAACCTTCCAATTCTCTGGGCTGACAGATACTCTGCCAAAAGTTATTTTTGAAGATGAGCTAGTTACAAAGATGCTAGATCAGTGTTGTGATAATTTACAATTGACTTAAGTCTCATTCGGATATTAAGGAAAACATTAAAAAAAAGTCTTCCCCGTAGCAGGAATTGTAACAATGCAGCTTTTGATAGGATGGTGATCTTAATTTGGCTTTAATGTAAATATCTGGCAGGTCCCCCAGTCAGTATATATGGTGATGGATAGACCTGTTACTGTTTGGTGTGGGATGCTGAGATGATGAGATTTTTTGGGAAAAATGCATAAAAGAGCCTTTTCCTCCCTTGAGGTTGTAAGGTGTAAGGTTTTTAAAATAATACACAGACTAAAGAGATTTGTTTTCATTTGGGAAAAAAAATAAAGAATTGCGTGAGAAGAACTGATAAGAATCGACACATTATAAAGAGTGAAAAAATTTATTTTTTCTTAGCAATGTAAGAGGCTAATAAGACAAAATTGTTGTGAGATAAAATGTAACAGATGTGAGTTAGAAAATAGATTGCAGATTAATGAGAGGTGTATGATTTTGAGGAGGTAAAAGGAAATCAAGAGCATTGTAGGGATGTTTTGCGTGTAAGGCACTCTGGTGGTACAATGGTTAAAGCGTTTGGCTGCTAACCAAAAGATTAGCGGTTCAAACCCACAAGCTGCTCTATGGGAGAAAGATGAGTGTGCTTCTGTAAAGATTTGCACCTTTGGAAATCCTGTGGGGCAGTTTTTCTGTCTTACAGGGTGGCTGTGAGTCAGAATTGACCCAATGGCAGTGGGTTTTGTTTGATTTGATTTTGTAGTTGTGTTCTTTGTGATCCATAGAAGTTATGTTGATTAGTAGCAAATCAAGCTTCTCACTCCCATAACGTATAACACTTCAGCATTTGTAGGCATATTTCTTACTAGGTTGCCAGCTAATAAGATGAAGAAATATCAGATGACTAAAATGAAATTTTAAGTTTTGTCTGGCTGTAACATCTGGCTGATTTTTTAAAACATATTTTAATGAAAAATTCTACTCAATGCATGTTGGTGGAATTTGGAAGAATGATCAAGTGGAATGCCTCAAGGAATGTTTAAGGCTGCAGTATCCCTTCTAGAAAACTATTTCTTACCAATCGTTTTTTAAACAAAGGCTTTAGACTTGTAGTTCTGTACTCCAATAAAGAGGGATATTGTCTCTGAAAGTATACACCCCCCCTCCTTAAGTAAAAAAGCAGATCTTGGTGACTTTATGAGAGCTAAGGGTCCTTTAAAAATATATATTTTTTAATATTAAAATAATATTAAATTATCGAGTAATATGCTCGAGCTCTAACTCCTCTATTTCCCCCCTCATTCTGTGTAAATGTGGCCAGTTATGCCATGAAGAATATACCTGAGGTGTTAGGTGCACAGCCGTGTGTCATGCTTTTACTAAGATATAAATTTAGATTGTAACATGATTTTAAAACCAAGATGTAAATTCACTTCCTCATATATCCCAACATTTTTCTTTTAATGAACAAGAGAGAAATTAGACTAGAAAACTCCTAAGATCCAGTTACTCTCTCAAGAGGCCATGTTTCTGTGTCTGAAGGGATGAATGTATATGCTAAAAGAGCAGCCCTATTAAATTTGCATTTGGAATTTGATTAAACAGATCTTATGCTAGAAAGGAGCTCTGGTGGTAGTGTAGTGCCTAAGGCATGTGACTGCTAACCAGAAGGCTGGTGGTTCAAACCCACCAGCCACTCCTCGGGAGGAAGGTTGGGCAATCGACTTCCGTAGTGATACTGCCTCAGAAACCAAGGGAGGGGTCACTATGAATTGGATCCGACTCAATGGCAGTAAGTTGGTTCAGTTCGGTTCATGCTGCAGCCTTAGACACAAAGTTTTCACAAGGAAGAGTAGCAGTTGAACAGTGACAGGGTACGTTTTCCTCCCTGCTGTTTAGGTGAGTGGAAGAAGGGTCAACTTTCATATGGGTAAAGGGGTAGCAGTTAGCCTTAGGGAAGCTTTGACAGAATTATGTAGACTGCAAGGAACCTTTAGGGATTTATGTAGATCAGTCCCTTTATGTAATTTTTTAGGACTTTATTAAGACCAACTTTGATAGATGATTCTATCCTATTTTTAAAGACCTCCTGAGGATTTGCAGGAAAATTTCTTAGCATACAGGGAGTCCCAGGGTTATGAAAAAATCTGTTCCTAAGTATGTCTTTAAGGAGTTCTGGTGGTACAGTGCCTAAGTATATCTTAAATTGAATATGTAGGTAAATCAGAACAGTTGCATATGGTTCTTAGCCTTACTTTAACTCACTGCCATTGAGTCAGATCCAACTCATAGTGACCCCTCCTTGGGTTTCCGAGGCAGTATCACTATGGAAATAGATTGCCCAGCCTTCCTTCCGAGGAGTGGCTGGTGGGTTTGAACTGCCAGCCTTCTGGTTAGCAGTCAAATGCCTTAGGCACAATGCCACCAGAGCTCCCAGACTTACTTTAGTGCAAGAAAAAGGATCTCTGGTGGTATAGTGGTTAAGGCATTCAGCTGCTAACCAAAAGGTCAGTGGTTAGAACCTGCCAGCTACTTTGGGGAAGAAAGATGAAGCAGTCCACTGTCATAAAGATTTACAGCCTTGGAAACCCAGTGCAGGTCACTATAAATTGGAATAGACTTAATGGCAGTGAGTTTGGTTTGGTTTGGTTTTAGTGCAGGAAGGGGCTGGAAGCCTCAGTGATTTATAAGTTGCATGTGCAGCAAGTGAAGTGAAAGTGATAAAGAATTTGTTTCTAGTAGGGATTGGTTCAGTGGCTTCAAAGTGAGGGCAAATTTACATAACATTAAAGGGCAGGTGCACTGCCAGTGTTCAGTGATCTTAACAAAGAATTTCTTTCTGTGGATTTAACATATGATTAAATAAATGTTATATTTTGATTGCTCCTGAAATATAATGCTTATTTGTTTTAAAAAAACTCTTAACAGACTTTTTTTTTTCTTAATTATCCATTTCATTATAGAACTTTTAAGAGTTGGCACACATTTTACCTTCTTTAATTAGTTTACAGGTATGAAAGGGGAAAAAAAAATTACTTGTCCTTGAGACAGTTTTGAACCTTCTTCCCCTTGGGAGTAGGTTTTTTTTTTTGCCTTAAAGTAGTTTTAAGGAGACATTGTAAGGATAAGAACCTTCTACCTGCCAGAGTAAATAAGATTCTGCCTCAAGGAGGAATTGGGGCATAAGTTATGTTCCTATGTCAAAGAAATAATAAGACAAGCAAAGTAGAAAGAACAAATGTTGGTCCTGATACTTACACTTTGCAGGAGGCAAATGAATAACTAATGAAGGTAGTTTACTAGATAGCTACCAGCTTTTGTTTCCACAGAGGAGAAACAGTAACTGAGGATTCAATGTGATGATGGCTTAGTTCTAAGGTGGGAGGAGTTGCTAGAATGGCCAGCACAGGACACCGGTTCAGGTTTAGCAGGGCCTGTGGAGACATCCCAAAGACTTCAAGGCTTTGCAGAAATAATATTGCAACTATATACACTTGTGGGATAAGATTTTTGTTTCAAATACTTTTTGAAATATGAGACCTATATTTAATATATAGAACACTGTATGCTATATTTTTGGCATATAACAAGGTCACGTAAATAACGTGCATATGCATATAACTGTGCACAATGTACATAGGAGACTAATGTGCTAGGAGTTGCACAGCATGAAGAAACCTGCAAAATGTGGACATTATTTGCATGAAAATACGGTACTGCGAAAAGGGCATAGGGGTGCTGTCCTCCTCTGACCTATAACTTCATCAGGGGGAGGCAGTCACCGTCAGAAGCAGCCCAAGGCTGATTACTTTAAGGCAGAAGTCAGACGTATCACCCCCCCCCCCCAATTCTGACACCAGCCATCCCTCCTGCAGCAGTCTCTATTTCTCTGCTGGGTTTGATAATTTATT